GAGGAGGTTGGCAGGGACTCGGCTGATTGTGAAGAGGAGACTGATGATGAGTACTAGCAAACTTGTGTCTCTTTTTGAAGAAGTTAAAGCTCAGATCAAATAGAAACTCTGTCATCTGACTCAACTGGTCCCAAGTGCCTGGAGGTGCCACAGGATTGTCCTGAATTGCGACGCTACTGTTTGACCTACTACTCCTTTTCTGCTTGCATAGTCTATGTGCTCCTAATGCACTTCTGTAGCGTGTGTGTCCTGAGCTTTCACACTGCTGTATATTCAAGAGTGAAGCTGACTAAGTGCCTGGCTTTGGGTTGGGGTCATCTTCTGCTTGGGAAGAGGTTCCTGGTGCCTGCCAGGAGCACCTCTTCAATTAGAAATGTACTGGTACCGTTCTATGCAACTATCTCTTGTATTTGAATAAAGATTCTCTTTTTGCTCTGAGTTCCCTGGCTTTAATCTAGGCTGTTTCTTGCATTTCAAATGTTCTCTTAGGGGATGAGTAAGCACTGATGAATATAAGCTACTTGCTAGCCCAACACTGAGGATCCCAAAGCAGCCCTATTGTTGTGACAGAAACGTTGTCTGTGCAGGGGCTTGTCTGGTTTGAGTTGGATGCTGTTCTGGTCCCTAACAGCTCAATTTTGAGCAGGCAGGGCACCACAGAACCCTTGAGGTTGGAAGGGATTTTGGGAAAATGAAGTCCAAAAGCCTTGCATGAGGAGGTCACTTTGAGTGAGGTGTCCCCTGGCTCAACTTGAGGCTTCTTGTCCTCTTGGTAGTCCTTCTGGAGAAGGAACTGACCCCTTCCTCACTACTACCTTCTTTCACGTAGTTCTAGAGAGTGATAAAGTCTCTCTTGAGTCTCCTTTTCTCCACACAAAATTATCCCACCTCTCTCAACTGCTTTTCCCCAGGTCTGTGCTCTAGCTCATTCCCTGGCTTTGTTGTCCTACTTTGGACATGCTCTGGTACCTCAATATCTTTCTTGTAGCGAGGGGCCCAAAGCTGAACAGAGTATTTGAGGTGGGGCAATCCTGTTTGCTGTCTGAGCTGGAAGTTGGGTAGCCAAGATCTCACAGATTCAAATGTGGGCTTCTTGTTGCATAGCAGGGTTTCTTTCTAGCTAGATTGTCAATGCCTATTGAGTTATGCTGCCTGTATCTTCTCCTTTGGGATCTTTCTCTTCAAGATGGGTTTAGGACCTCCTAAATCCTGGAATGGTGTTCAGAGACCTTGGACCTGCTGCCTTGGGGGTATCTCCAGTTTGCCACAAGGTGTGAGAAGGGGGCTTTTGTGGGTTGTTACGTGGAGGAGAAGGAAGATACAGTTCCTGGAGGCCAGGGAAAACCTGTCTGCCCTGGTGAAGGATTAGGAGGAAACTGGATGGGACCCAGCAGTGGAAGAAGGTAAAGAGTGGAGCTAGCATGACTGGGTCCTGTGTATCTACTCATGACTGCCTAGTGGAACCTTCATCTTGAATGCAATATCAAGGAATTGGGTTTCATCCCTGGATTCTGCATGAAATGGCAGGAGTGACTGAATCAGTGAATGTTTTTTATGGAACTGCTCATGCAATCTCCAAATAGCATCACTGTCCGCTCTTTCCTTTCCAAGACACTTGGCTCCCAAAGCCAGGTGGTGGCTGATAGATATTTCAGCACTCATGTTTCAGTCCAGCTTCCTCAGGAAATCTGGCTCCTGTGACCTTTGTCTGTATCTCAGCCCCTCCAAGCAGCTTGTGATCGTGCTTGGCAGAGGCTGGGAAGATGTATTCATATTGGAAAGGTTTGTCAAAGCCGGTGTGGGATGCGGGTCAGACTTGCCCATGGGGATTCAGCTGGGGTGGGAAGATTTCTGCTTTCTTCATCACTCCTTTTGTGTTAGTATCTGCTGTCCCCTGCTCAGCTGGGCTGTCCAGGGAAGGGCCTGGAGCCAGCAGACACCCTTGGGCTTGTCCACGCCCAACACAAGATGCATCCTCCAAGTGGATGCTGCTGACTGGGATTGCAATAGGGCCAGAGAGCCAAGCGCTGAGTAGGGCCAGGTGGCCCATGCTGGAAGCCAGGCTGGATGCGTTCCTGTGAGCAGAGCCAAATGAGCAGCTTTGCAGTAGCCAGATTTGTTTATTTTTGGCTTCAAGACAGTGCCTAAAACTGAACTGCCTGCCGATCTGGATATAGACAGTGTGAGAGCAAATGCTCCCGAATTCCTCACCACTTAGTCCATAAGGAGGTGTGAAACTACCCCAGTACATGCTGGAGGGATGTTCAAGGTGGCTGCACTAGTTGATGTGAAACCAAGACCCATGTGTGAGCCCCAGGAATGGGATGTTTTGATTTCTAGGCAATAACATGGGGCTGAGATGTTCCCTTTGTCTGAAAAAGTGGCAGCCAGCAAATGCTTTCCCTCCTGTAGCATCATGGGGCCACTGGGCCACAATCAGGGGCCACTGGGCCACAACCAGGGTTGCTGCAAATCCTCCTGGCTGCTGGGGAAAGGCCTGTTCCCAGCCTGGAAAACAGGGAGAAAAACAGCTGAGGCCCCTCTGGGTGGCAGGGAATTTCTGTGTGTGTTAGAAACGCTGAGACCCTGGGACACTCTCTCAGAATGTCAAACCCACACAGGGATGAGTGTGTATCTGGCTGGGTGTCCAGATGGGTCTGATTTTGCTCTTCCCACTCTGTCTGTCTGGATGTGAGCTGACACGCGTGCTTCTCTCTGCTTGCTATCCATGGGGCTCCCTGTAGCTAGCCCCGTGCTCTAAACCACTTCCAGACCAGGCTGGATGCTTTGGGTTGGGATGATGTGACCAGTCGGGTTCTGGGAAGGTGGGTGGATGTGTGGAGAGGGACTTGAGAAGGTCTTTCCCTCCTGCACTACCCAGTCCCAGAGGAACCTCTCTGCAGGGACCTGTAATAATCAATCCATCCATCCATCCTGGATGGAAATGGAGAGGATTAACCACACAGCTCCTTCCCACCCAGGCTGCTATTTCTAGGTGCTCTAGAAAGACCTCCCTGGCCCATCCTTGCCCTGGTGCAGAAGCAGGAGGGGCTCAATGCACAGGGGCCCTGCAGGTGTGTTGCCTGCTGGAGCAGTGTGACATGATGGGAGGATGCTGGAGGGCCTGGCGCTTTATTTTACATCCACTTTCAGTGTTAAGTCCAGTCTATGGATAGTGCTAAATTCAGGTCACCCCGGTGATGCCCCTGGGCTACAGCTCACCTAGAAGCCTTGGCCACCTGAATTGGGTTAAGGACTGAAATCAGCCATGTTGCCTCCTCTGGTGTCCCTCTTTGGAAAGCCATGGAGCATAGAGGAGGTGCTCTAGCTGCTTCCCTGCAGCTGACTGGTGGGTCCCTTCACGAACTCTTCAAGTAGAGACCATTCCCCTATAAAGTCCTACCTGTATGGGGCTGCCATAAGCTCCTTTCTTGCTCTTGGCAAATGTCTCCTGGGGAGGAAGAGTCAAGATCCTCTCCATCTCCCACCACTGTTACTATGCAGGGCTTGGGGCCAAGATCATCTTGGGCTGGACTGGGAGGGAAAGGGATTATAGAGGAGGGAACAAGTAGCACAAGGGAAAGGGACAGGCTTTTGGGCTCAAAGAGCTGGGACATGGATGGAGAGTGGATGGAGAGGATTAGGGTGTGTGCAGATCACTTGGCAAGGGGTGTTCCTGGGGAGCTGGAGTTCATCAATCTGCACAGATGTCCACTGGGGAAGGGGGAAAAGCAACGGCATGGAGGCACCGGTGATGCTTGGAGCTCCACACTCACCTTGGGCTGTGGTTGTCAGCGCCCTGGACGTGCTTGTGATGGACCATGTGGATGGGACCCCTGCCTGGGCCATGGCTGGGACTGCTAAGGGTGTGTAGGGGAAGGGGTGGTTGCAAAGTGGCTTTAAAAGCTAAAGAGTCTCCTGCATCCTTCACCTGGGAGTTACTGGGAAATTTCTCTCCAGTCCTCCTGACCAATATCTCTTTTTCCTTCCCAACACATGAGGTTGTGTGGAGGAGCTGGGACGGAGCAGAGGTTGAGTGGTGGCAGAGATGGAATCATACGGCTGGGTTGAGGGAAAGTTTGAACAGACCACAGGGCCCAAGTGACTACCCAGTGGAGGTGATGGGAGAACAAAGCATTGGAAACCTCAAGAGATCATAGCTTTAATAGGGACCTTCCCGAGGCGACACATCTCCTTGCCCTGTTTCAGAAACCAGCCTCTTCCCCATGTGTGGAAATGTCCAGGGCGTGAAGGAGGACTGGGGAGAGAGGGAAGGAGAGAAGGAGGAAGAAAAGACACCTGAAAGTTAGGTAGCTCTCTGGGTCAAAAATATACAACACTGATATCATACACAGCCATCAGTCCCCTCTGGCCAGGGGGAATGGGGCTGGTTGGTGGCCCCGCTGTCCCCACGTGGCTGTTTCTGCTCCGAGTCCCTCCTGGGTCACTTTCGCCTCCCGATCTGGGCCATGAGGTGTGCGTTGGCTGCGGCCTTCGCCCTCATGTTCTTGGCTTTGGCGATGTTGAAGAGGATGTTCATGATGTTGGTGGGGACGTCGAGAGAGAGGGTGACCTTGGTGCGGCGGTCGCTCTTGGCCCGGTTTTGGTACGTCTTCCCCTTCACCTGCGCTTGAGAGACGTATTTATAATGGCCTTCCCCCGGGAACGTCCTTTTCTCCTTCTCTTCATCCAGTGCTTCTTCCTCTTCCTCTTCCTCCTCGAATGCCTCCTCTGGTGGTGGGTAGTCCAAACTGCGCTTGTCCAGAAGATCATTCTCATCTGGGCGGCCCTTTTGGGCCTCAGTGAGGGCCTCGTTGAGGCAGCTGAAGATGGAGGCGGCATTGTAGAGCTTGAGGGCCCGGCCGGTCTCGGTGGCACAGAGGAGCGCGAGGAGGAGCAGCACCTTGGTGTGCGGCATCTTGGTGGCCTGCATGGTGGGAGACAGGGAGGGAGGGACAGAGGTGACCGTGAGAGCCCCTTGGGGCTGGTGTGAAGCGACATCATCCTCCTCCCTGTGAGCACCCTGGTCTTCCCTGTGCTCCTCCCAGAACTGAAGGTGATGGGACTGGTGGGACTGAGGTGTCCTAGGGCCTCCTTTTCATGCTAGGGCTCCAGGAGCAACCCACAACACCTCATTTTGGGGTGCTCATGGGGAAATGGGGTGTTGGAGCATTTCCGTGGAGGAGATGATTTGGCCCTTATGCCCAAATGGAGCTACCTGCTGTAGGAGGACCTGCTCCTACCTGGACACCTCCCTTCCAGGCCAGCCTCCCTGTCCTCCTCTCACTGACCCTCATCCTGCCTGTCTTGCTCATAGCACCATGGGGTAGCCATGGATGTTACTGACACAAACCTGGCTGCAAATGTAGGGTTTCCTTCCAACTCCTCTCCTGTCACCCTGAGGCCACCAGAGATGCTTCTCTGCTCTGTGCATCTGCAATCACCCGCTCTCCCAACCTGGCCTGAAAAGTGCACGTGGCATATCCGAGGTGTGGGGTGCAGCCAGCCCCAGAGCTGCCAGGGCAATCTGCCACCCCTTGAGTGTGGTTGGTCCCCTCTCCATGCCCTCCACACCTTCCTGTCCTGCATCAAGTTGGAGCCCACGAGTCAGGGAGAGCCCAGTGCTCCTGGTGCCATGACACAGGGGATGTATTTACCTCCCACATCACCCCTTCTCCCTCTTGGACCAGGGAGCTTTGGGGAGGGTCCAGGAGCCCCCTCTGTTCTGGGCATAGGACAGGCTGACCTGTTTGATGGCACAGTGTTCCCAAGGATGTGCTCTGCTGGGCAGTCCTGCTTGGATTCTCGGGGCACCTCGTGGCACAGCCGTATTGCCCCTTATGCCCCCCACCTTGGAATAAGTGCTCTTCCTGGGCCTGGGGTCTGCTGCAAACCTGCTCTGCCAGACTTCCCCATTTCCAGGCTCTGGGAAGCACTGAGTAAAGTGCTCAGGTTTATCTATTACTTATCAGGATGATGACTCTTGTGCCCAACGCTCCGTCTACCTGTTCATCTGCTCCAAGGGGCTGTTCAAGACCGAATTTTCCAGAGGTTCTTTGCCCTCAGATGAGCAACCCTAGGGCCAGATCGAGGGGGAACTACCCAAAGGAGAGTGTGTGGACCTGGGCTCGCATTTGCAATCTTCGGGCCCCATCTTGTGGCAAGTCCATCGCACGGCAAGCCGGGGCTGGGGGACAGCGTCCAGGGGTGCAGGGACCTTATCTGGGGTGATGGGAGTGTGGGAGACAGGGGAGAGCTCCAGGGAAGCTCTTGCAGATGCCTCCTGGCTGGCTGCATCACTTGGGATCATCCCTGCACGTCCCTTTGCAGCCACTGCACCCAGGGAGCAGAGTCTCATTGGGATGAGTGATCCTAAGGACCTGCATGAGGGGCTGCTCAATGGGGGTGTCTTCAGGCTGATGCAGAATCAAATCAAAACCCTTTTTCCCCAGGAGCTGTCACTCTCCACCTGCTCTTCTGCCGCTGGGTCATGGTCGCTCTCATCACTATCACCTTAACTCTGCCCGTTGCTGTCGCTTGGACTTGGACCCCTCGTTGCACGCACTGCTCAGTTCCCACTTCTTTGGCTCGCTCCTCTCCAAACCAGCCCTATCTCTGGTTAAGAACCATCACCTTAACTCTATCCCCAATGCATTTCAACCTCTGTGAACCTAGAAATTGCCATCCTTCCTCCCCCTGCCCCGCAGCTACTGGCACCAGAGCAGCAATTGCTCCCGAAGCTGCCCGAAGTGAAAGGAACTGATCGGAGATGCTGAGACCGGTGCCGGGCAGCGACTCTCCCTGCTTGCTTTGCCGCCACCCGACCAGTGCTGCAACCGGGACATGGAGCTTTCCTGCCCAGCAAAACTCCTTGGGAAACATGGGCTGAGCGAGAAGAGTGGAAGCACAAAGAGGGGAAACAGCTGGAATGCATCCCGCAAACCCCATCCTGCATCCCACATCCTGCATCCCTCCCCAGCTTTGCATTTCCCAGTCCTCAGCTAGATGATGGATATGCTGGAGAAAAGGAAAATAAGAAATTAAGGAAAAGCATCAAGGAAGCACAGTGCCCACAGTGTGAGTTATGTGCTGGCTGTCCTGAGCATGCAGCAAAAGAATGATTTTTTTTTTTTTGCATGACAAAAAAACGTGTACTGGCATGTTGCAGGGCACTGGGGACTTCAGCCCACTTCCAAGAAAGAAAAATAATTTAAAAAGGGTGGAAAAAAAGGTAGAATTGGGTCACCCTGATCCTCTCCCTGAGCAGGAAGAGAAGAAAACTGATGTGCAGCTGATCCAAAGGGACTGGAGCTACATCTGCTCCTGCTACTGAAGGGTGACCCGCAGGTGCTGCTCGCTGCCAGGGGAAATTGCTGGGATGCTCGTGGGCAATTTGCAGGCATTACACCGAAATGCTGCAGAAAATCTGCCTCTCAGCCTTAAAAGAGAGAAGCAAATCACTCTGCTGAAGCACCTCCAGCCCACGGTGGACAAAACTCTTTGCTGCTTATCATGGGCTCCTTCATGGCAAAGGCACCAGATTAAGCTAATTTATATATATATATTTTTCCCCATCAAAAAGTAAGTCTGAAATAAAACAGAATGGCAGGCAAGACCTGTAGACTTTTAAAACTCTTTCTGCCCAAGGCCACCTCTGCTTACTAGTGCACATCTAGTGCGGGTGCAAACTGCCTTGCTTCTTCCCAGGGGTCCTCGAATCAAAGCAGAGCTGGTGGGGAGGGGGCTGTGCCTTGATTTCCCCCTCTCCCTTAAAGCAATATTTTTTTTATCCCCACTTTTAGCTTTCCCGGGAGCATTTCCAAACTCTTATCACACTACCTAGCCTCAGCTGCCTGATCCAATTCCCCAAATGGTCACGTTGAGGGACCCAAGGCTCTCAATATACTATCTTGAATTGCTTTTCCCTATCCTGCCTTTTCTTTCTATATTTTTTTTCCACGTAGAAATGTGGTCCCTGTTCTCCCAAGGAAAAGAACTGAAATATCTAAACTTTGTGCAGATGAAGCTGGCTGTTGCTTAACGAATGAAGCCCCGGCAAGGCACTCACCTGAGAGTCTCCGGTGATGGGGATGGGAAGAGGCTCCGTCTGCGAGTGGCTGTCTCACACCAAGGAGAGAGGCATCAGGACCGTTCCCCCGAACTTCCGTACCTTTGCTTTTCTTTTATTGTTATTAAGAGGGCTGTGATGCTTTTTTTTTTTCTTTCTTGCTTTTTTTTTTTTTCCCTCTCTCTATGGAAACGCTTTTCCCCTCCCTCGTGTATATATAAAAATGAGTGATCACGGGGTTGAAGTCGTAACTCCAGACGTGGAGCCTTCATTTGGACATGATTTCATTAAAATGAAATCAGAAGGAGCTGGCAACGTCACGGAGCTGCGGTGTCTGTCCTCATTCTGAAAAAATAAATAAGAAGGAGGGGGGAAAAAGACCTCTGAACCCAACAGGCTGAGCAGGCTGGTGAGAGCCTCACCAAGAAACAGGGTTGTCGCCGACATGGGGACTTTGCAGGACTGCACACACGTAGACACTCCCCACAGCTTCCCCCTAGAAGCTGGAGACTTGGTGTGAGGATATATTAAATGTAAAAAAAAATTGCAACCCTTTGAGATGCTTGCTTCAGTTTTCAGATTTCAGTGGGTCCTTGAGCTGGTGCGGAGTCCCCGACCCCCTGTCCGACCAGAGGACAGGTCTACCCCATGTTGCATTAACTGCAGCTGAGGGGTCAGTCGAGTGTAGGGGTCGGTTGGGAACCCTTTTTGCAAGACACGGTAGCAGAGTCCCCACAGGTGGTTCCTGGCAGCTTCAAGATCTTGTCTGGGTCCTGAGCGCTCTATTGAGCTCCTCTCTGAGGCTGAATGGTGCCTTCAGCATCTTGGCTCATGAAGGCTGGCGGGTGCTCGGCACTGCGGAGGGACACCCGTGGACCTGAGTCTCTGCTTGAAGTGCCACCTTCTGGCCAGGGACTGCTGTCCCGGAGGAGGGACTTTCCTAAGGAAAGTGAGGAAATGCCTCTGAACCCTGTCATGAAGAGGTGAGAGCATCCAGTAGTGACAATGAGTTGGGTGCCAGGCTGGGATGAGAAGAAGTTTTTGACCTCAGACCATATGCCAGTGAAGGTCACAGCTGCTCCTTTGGAAGAAAAGAGCTACAGTCTTGGATCTTCTTGGATGAGCACCTTTGAACTTCCCACCCATCTTCTGAAGGTACCAGTTGTGATCTGAGAGGCAGTGACGAGGAGCTCCCCCTTGGCTTTGATGCTGGGTAGGGCATTTTCCCTCCATCACATTCAGCTGTTGACTAAGACCTGTCTGGATCCACTGCTTCAGCAATTCACTCACTTTTTCGTTTTCCTCAAGGCTTTCACCCCCCAACCTGAAATTTCCATTTCTCTCCCTTAACCTGAGGTGATTTGTTTATCCAAATCCCTGGGCTCTCTGGTCGTATTCCTGGGCAAGGGAAGGTACTGCAGATGCCAGTACAAAACCTTGGTGGGAAAATTCCATCTGAGCTACCCAGGTGTGGGACTCTCTAGCAGCAGAAGTTGGAGGATCATCACGTAGCTTGCAGTCCTTTCTCATCTTTCCCTCCAGCAAACTCCTCCAGACTTATCTATTGCAAAGGGATGAGCTTTCCCTTAAGGCTGCACGGTTCCTGGAGCTAAGAAAACCCTTCATCTTGAGTTGGGGTTGGGTAAGGTTTAGCTACATTCACACCAGCGATGCCTGCTCCACCTTTGCAACCAACTGGTGCAGAAGCATTATGAGAACTATTTTCAACATGCTCCCTCCTCCCTGCACCATGTTAGAGCTCCATTAAAGATAATTTCCCCCTGCTCTCATTGTAGATACCCAAGTGCTGATTCTCATAAACCTTCAGCTCTCCTTTCACTCTCAGGTTATCTGTCTTGCCTTTCCTTGACATCCACGGGGTGAGAAGGGCTTAAGTCAGCACTGTTACCACCTAGCTTCATTAGCTTCATTAGCACAGGTTAAGGCCTGACACTTGGTAGAAGGTGTCAAAAGCTTTTAAAAATACACTTGGGTGGTGCTAAGCACTTGAGTTCAAGGGTCAGAGAAGACAGGAGTTAATAGCAGAAATACAACATTGAAAGAGGTAGCACATCCATGTCTCTCATTTGGTTGTCCCACCAAGCAGGTTTGATTCCCCATAGAAGAAGGTTTCATGCCTGTGGTGGATGGTGAGAGCTTTCTGCTCTACCCCATTTCCAGAGGGATGTGTTTTGCACCCTCTTGCTCCCTGAGGCATGTAGATTTTGGCTGAGGTCCAGAAAGCTCAGGAGACCCTTCAGCCCTTCTGGGCTCAGACCATGGACAGCCCAGTGCGCTGAGCGCACTCTATATAACAGCTGGACACAGTGTGATTTCCCCACCAGAAAAGCGAACTTGGATTTCCTTTCCGGAACATTCCTGGTGACACAAGCCCTGAAGAAGTGGCCCTTGGCCTTACTCTGTTGCGCTTCCTGCGTGCTGAAAATGCAATGTCTTGAGCGCTCCCCTCTCACCCTACCTCCCTGTGCTCTGATTCAGGTCATCGTGACCTGCTTTTTCGAGCTATGTTCAGACTGACAAGATCAATCAAGGCAAGTGCCTGCTCCCCAGGTAGCCCATGGCTGTCCTTGCTTTGCTATCAAGATGAGCTATGCAATCCAGATGTGTCTCTGCTGCTCATGGAGAGCCAGGACTCATATAGCCAGGACAATCTGATCACCCATCATTTTTTTCACCATGGTTTTCTTAGAAAAGCAGGGACAGAAGGATACGATGCCCTGCTCAGATTGGGGTTGGGTAAGGTTTAGCCACACTCATGTCAGCGATGCCTCCTCCACCTTTGCAACCAGCCTGCTCTTGCTGTGCTCTCTCATTGAAGCCTCTCCTGCGGTGAAAGGAGAGCATGTAATGGAGGGAGAACAGATGAGCAGTAGTTTCTTCCGCATTGCAATTGCTTCAGCATATCCTCGTGGGTTGTGCATGCTCCACGTGGAGGAGAAGGTTGGGAATAGGGCAGTGAGGAAAGACCCAAAAGAGCCCTGGGCCCATCTGGCTGATAGTGGCAACAAGGTGACTCGGGGATATTGGGAAGTGGCTCACTCAGGCTGGGAGGGTCTATAGGGCATCAGGGGGTGATTCTTGGTGTCCTCGTCCATCTGGGTTCCTTGGTGAGTGCAATGAAGAACTTGCTGTTACACTCTTGCATGGGAGGGTCACAAGCATGGTTGGGCACCTACACCAAGGGGTTCATCTTCATGGTGCTTGCTTGGTTGAATATGGCCCTGCTTGGCTGAATTTTGAGGCAGAAGATCCCAAAGGTTCAGGGGAACAGGGCTGGGGAGCAGCAGGAGACTTAATACTTAATAAAATACTTTCCTTGGGCAACCAGCCTGGAGAGTCATCATCTCAGTGGTTGAAAACCTGCCCGGGGCTGAGAGCTCTTCGGGTCTGGAGAGGTGTCAGGTGAAAAGCAATCAAAATAACCACAATATGATCCTCAAAAGTCAATCCAACTGCCCAAATGACCCATAAAAATGGGCAGACTGCACAGCTCTTGGGAACAGCGATGCCTTCCCAACAAGGAGTCTGGAGCTTGGAGGAGAATGCATTTTCCATCATCTAGCAAGTCACTGCTGGGGCCAGGTGGTGAATACCCTCTCCATCTCCTGCACTGAGAGCAAATGATAGGATGTGTTTCCATGGCTATTGCCAGTAAAATGCTCTGTTGTTGGGAAGCCTTGGTGGAGGGGAACATCCGACAGGAGGCAAATCCGCCCGCCAGACATGGCGTCTTCGTGGTGATTTTATTAGAGGAAAATAAGAAAGAGTAGGCAGTGACTAAGAAAGAGAGATGAAAGAAGGCAAACCATCTGGTTCATCTCTATCAGTCTACTTTGAAAGCAAACCAGAACACTTAAGCTGTCACTGGTTAGGCACTGCGGCTTGCAGATCCCTTGTGCTGTTACAGGCGATCCAAGAGGAGATTTTGCTGCAAAACTGGAGATGTGATGGCATAAAATAGCCCATCATGACCCAGAGGAGAGTGTGAGCAAGGTTATGGAAAGCTTGGGGCATCCATGGGAACCATGGCACTACTGGTAGCTAAGAGAAACACGATTCAATTACCCAGAAGTTTCTCTGAAAATTAGCAAACTTATGAAAAATGCAGGCTTTGTTGAGAGTGTCCTCACTGGTCTCCCATGTGCGTCTGTCTCTCCAGGAGCAGGACACCTTCCAACCCCTCTGCAGCCGTTCTCGCTGTTACGGAGCTCAATTTCCTTCCATGAATCATCATTTAAGACTAAATGTGGGCAGCTGAAGAGGATCTTATTAAAGTTTCATCACCACAAGCATTCCACCACTGGGAGAAGTTAGGCACAGCCACTCCTGTCCTATCACACCGGAAGCCTTGAAAGCAAAAAGCCTACCCAAAATACCAGCAAAAAAGTTTTGCCTGGCATGGGAAGGCTATGTAAATATGAAATGCAGCCCTCCTATTTACCATTTCTGATGCCAGAATTGCATAGAGCAGGCCAGACATGGACACACTACAGGTCTAAAAGGTTGAAAAGGTCCAGCAGTACCTCCATGCAGGTCCAAAAGGGGATTTGCTGGTTTACTTCCAATCCCATCTTCAATAACTACTAAGACTCAGCTTATTTGCTGGTGGCCAGAGGCCCACATGGTGGTCCCCAGCACACTGCCTGATGTGATCTCAGCTCTGGTCATTCTGTAGCCCCACAGCAAACAGCAGCAGTGCCGCTATCGGTCTTCCTCGGTGCATTTCCCTGCTCCATGATCCCATGGAGAATCATGTCTTAGCAACAATTTTCGATTCTGTGAAAGTTAAGTCTTCTCCTGAAGAGCAGTGAGACTTTTTAAAGGCTGTTGCCCCATACTGTGCTAAAGCTGGGTGTTATGAAGAAAGGAGTGGGGCTGGGTGTTGATTTCTAGGCAAGAAAGAAAAATAAATAAATATTGAAAAAAAATGCCAAAATTCTGCAGCTCGTTGGTTTTTGGGAGGGACAAGGGTTTTTGATGGGAGGACCCAAATAGAGGGTGAAGTCCTGCTCTGTGGTGAATGGCCAGCCAGAAACTGCATCCCTGGGGAGACCGACACCATCACACAGAGCTCATAAGGTGGGTGCTGAAGGGCTTGGAAAGCCCTAAGGCCTCATGCAGGGTGGTAGGACTCCAGCAGAGACATGATGACGAGTTCTGGGGGAAGTCAATGCAAATTATTGCTCTGCTGCTATGATTTTTTAACCTTCTTGGGCCCAAGGTCTCTTGCTGCTGCTGCAGGACCACAGGGGATTTATGGCCACCCAAAACACACGGCTAACCTAAGGATAAATGCCATTATTGGTGTCACTTTTTTTCCAGAGATGCTGGATTTCAGGGTTTTCCAGCAGGAGTGGCTGAGCTCATGAAAATGTAGGATCTTCTCCCCTTTTTGGTGTGCTACCACCCCAGGTCCTTGCTCCCCTCGTTTTAACAATGGATGTCCAGAGGCCATCCTTACCAAAATCACCTTGTGTTGGACCTGGTGCTCATGGTCACTGACTGAAGAGGAGAAAATCAATTGGCAGCCAAGGAGGGGATTGCCAGCTCCCTGCTCACCCATTCAGTGGGGCTGAAACCGTTTTCCAAGGAGGTGTTTGCATTTATCGTGCCCATGGCTCATGCTTGTGCGTATGGGACTTGCACTTCCTTTTGGAAGGAATCACGTAAAATCAAGAAAAATGAGAAGGGAAGAGCATTGTGGTCCTGCACCTGGATCCACACGGGAGCTGTGCCTGCAAGAGGTTCATCCTGTCAGCAGGCTGACTATTAGTTGCAGGCTACTAATAAAAACTATTTATATTACATAGAACAAACTGTAAAAATATCTCCTTCCTCCTGCCTCCGTGGGTTGAGATTGCTCCTAATAATGAGGCTACAACAGCTGGTTGAGGCCAGTGGGAGTCATGCAAGAAATACGTTGGTGGTTTCTCTTGGGCTTTTATATGGTCCCCAGGTGGGTCAGAGCACCTTTTTGGGGCAATGTTTTTTAGGGCAGTCGTGGGGGGAAGCACATGGCCTTGGTTTTGCCCCTAATGCACAGGGCAGCAATGACAGAGGTTTGGACAGGATTGTCACACTGCAGTGAAGGGTTTCAAGGCTTTCCTCCCTTAACGGGACATCACCGATGTCAGGTTGCAATTGTAAATGTCTTTGTCAGGTACCACCATTGCCCTCTGCTTCAAAATGTCCCTAGAGATTTTTAAAACTGTTTTTATATGCCTTTAAACTCAACTGTAGGGAGTTTTAAAGCTTGTTTCTAGAAGCCTTTGAATGCCATTGCACCGACTTAAAGCTGTCTTTAAACCCCATTTTTCACTCTCTCTTCAAATCCCTGGAACTGGCCATTTGCAGTGATGGTTTTGGCTTATTCAGGGCTTTTTTTTTCCTCCTCCGGAGTTCAGGAATCTTCTGGCTCCTTATTTACACCAGTGCTACCTCCCCAGGCCTGGAAAGTGGCTGGCTTGCTGGCAAATCTCTCTGCCCTGAAAGTCCCCCCTATCATGCAATGAAATCATTTCAAGAAACTCAATTAGCATGACATGACATTTCCAAGGAAACGCCAAGGATCCATTCCGGTAATATTTTGGCCCTGCCAAAAGCAGTTTAGATGGTAAATCAATAGCAAGCATTTAAGGCTAGATTTATTAAAAAAAAAAATCAAGTTATCAATTCCCCATTATACCCAAGCTCCCAGAAACAGTGATGGGAAATTCAAGCTGCATTTAATACACCTAGCAAGGGAGCAAACAGTTTGATTTTACAGACTTATCCACAATATTGGTTTTCATTGCTTGAGTCTTTCAGCTGCTTTACAAATAGGAGTTGAGTTCAGGCAGCTCCCAGCGAGCTAGAGATTTGGCCCAGTTTTAGAGAGTTTTGGTGATAAATGAACCAGCAGGTCATTTGCTCCAGTAGGCCTCTGTTTTATTTTTAATGGTGATTTTCTTTTTCTTTTTTCAGCACAGTTTATGAACAAAGTCTTTTCTTTCTGGTTGCAAATGCTTTGGTCTCCTGGATGGCCTCTGCTGTCCTGGGCTGACAGAAGAGCTGGGGTTCAGTGCTGGGAGTTATGTATCTCTGTGTGAGTTGGGCTTGACCCTTGCACATGGGCCTGAGCATCATCTGAGATGCCCTAAAGCTCCAGAGATATCTCACAGACCTGGCACCATCTCATGGCCAACTTGGTTTCTCCAGGACATCTTGAACCGATGTGAATCCTAGCCCTGGTTCCGTGATGTGTTGATGGGGCCTCACCTCCCTGCTATCATGTTGGCACCCAATGTGGGTGTGAAAACTTGGGTTTTTGTCTGCTGCCAGGCAAAAAAAAAAAAAAAAAAGCCCATTTGGCGATGTTGTGGCCTCACCTGAAAATGCAGAGACCTTTCTTTTGGATGAGGCCAGAACAAATGTTTTGCTCACTTGGGAACATTTTGTTTCTTTTCTGAGAGAATATTTTTCTTGCTATGATGTGACACCTGAATGCTTTTCTGGCTGAAAATACGTTTTGATATTAAACATCATTTTGAAAAAGAGAGGATTCAAATGTCATTCGGAAAATGGCACTTGTTTCATTTCCAGCATTTGCAAAATGGGTCAGTTTACAAAATTCCATCTTTTCTAAGATTTTTAAAAAAATGGCTGTGGAGATAAAAAGCCAAAAAATTCTGCTGAATCCCTTCTCGGAGCCTGGGACATTATGGTCCAGGGTTGTCCTGCTTCTCTCTATGCTACCAACATGAGAGAGATGGAGAACAACAGTCTGCAAATAAGAGCTGGAAGCAATCCTTTGGACACCAAGGCAAGGCCAGCAGTAGTTTCTACCAGAAAACATCTGTCCTGCAGAGCTTTCTCTGTTTTGGGCTAACCCTTGCCCTAACCCTTGTTAACTGGGGGTTGGGATGCTCTAATAGCCGATGGGTTTGGCCACTAGGCCATCAAGGTTTGGCCATCCCACTCACTGATCCCCAGGAGGAGATGACATGGGTTCACTTGGTTTGGTTGGTGGAAACATGAAGGGCATGACCCCATAAGAGGGTTAATTTCAAGGACAGGAGCATGTCTTGGCCTTCTAGGGTCCTCTGTCACCTCCTGGTCTTGTGCTGCCAAAGCAATGATGAAGCCTCCTGGGCAACTGAGTGTGGGTAGTGACACTCTTTGGCCAGGGAAATCAGAACTCAACCTCAACAGGGTGTATTTGCAATCAGACTTTTAATAACATTTTGCTGATAATTTCCTAACAGTCTCCCTTGCCCATCTTACCCCACCACAACCCTCCATTTAACCATTAAATTCCCATTACAGTTGTTCGGAGGAAGAAAATAAATTCCCAGTGTAATCCTTGAAGACACAATGCAATGCAAATTCTTTAATGAACACATTTATTGTCTATATGGGCTCGAAGAATGGCTCGATTTATAGAAATCTTGGAGTGTTTATGGGGGGATGCTGTGGAGGATGCTCTATATTGAATCAGCCCTACTGATCACACATCAGGCATTGGACTGGTGAGTGGAAGGGACTGATAAGACCTTGAGGCTTCACACATACGGGAGTTTGTGCACAGGGCAGCCCCTGTGACGGAGCAGGTTAGGAACCCACATCTCACCTGACAGGTATCATTTTTAGACACGGAACTTCTGCCATGGGCTGGATCTCTACCCATCTGTCCTGTTTGACACAAGGCAATGGAAATTCCCAACCACTTTCTCTCTATCTTTCTCAAAGAGTTACTGGTGCCAAGTGAGTATATCGCTAGAATTATACAACACAGCATTAACACACTTTAATTTTACAAAATAAACTCAGAGATAGGTGTCAGTTGGCTTTGCACAGTAGTTTTATGGGCTGAGTAGCATGGTCATGATCCTCTGAAAAATTTCCGCTTTCCTGAGAAGTCAGACACCTCCCTCTTATCATACCGGTTTGTTTTCTTTTCGTAATCACAGTCGTCACGCACAGAACCAACATCTGTCACCTCTTTGTGTTCTCTGGTTTGCCCAATCTCTGAGATGTCCTCGCGGTGTTTCTGGCAGCTCCTCGATCTGAATCCTGCAAGCGCAGCTGCTCTGTCTGGTTCTCAGAAGCAAGGGAAGAGAGAAAACAACATCAGTGCTGGAGATTGGCTCCAACTTTGGTGTCCTCCTGGACCTCCCATACTGCAGAGGGTTGGGAGGTCCTGTCCCCGCTGCAGCGGGATTGTGTGTCCCATGTCACACCGATTCAGATGGGTTGTCCCAATCTGGGCTAGCTCCAAGCACCTGTTATGGCTAGGGAGAAGGAATGGGCACTTCTAGGGCACAGTACGGCTGGCCTGGTTTGGGATGAGTCCTGCTCAGCAGTGTCTGTTTGTCCCCACAAAGGGAGAGCAGATAAACAGCTGGAGATACACCAGATGTGGGCACTTATCTCACCAGCTCAGCTGGCCAGCAGGTTCCCCAAGAAGTGATGCAAACTCCTTGCAGAGGGGAGTGAGAGGAAGAGACTAGAGAGCCAGCTGGAAGGGCTGCACAGGGGCAAACAAAACCTCATTCCTGGATAGTGAAGGACCAAAGCAACCTTTGCTCCTCTAAGAGCATTTATGCCCTCCAGAGTGGCACTGTGTGTCCTAAACCAAGCTAAGAGCAAAGGAACATTTGCATGGCCGTCACACTTGCAGAGCAAGAACCTGGGCAGTGCAAAGTCTGTGGCTTATCAGAAAGGTTTGAGCAGAGCAGGGCACCCAGTGCAACAGTATTAACCTTATATATTCCAGGGGTGAGTCTAAACGCCAGCCAATCAGATACAAAAACTGTGAAAGAAACCCAAGCTGAGACTCATATCTCCACCTTTAGCTTCCTTCTCTTTCTTAAATGCCTTCAAAGACAGAGCAAATGAACCGCAATAGATTTTTAATTTTTTTTTTTCTGGAGAACAAATCCTTTTCTCCTATGGTCCAGAGGTTTCCTTCTAGGAAAGCTTGTATCAGTGGCAGCTGACATGATGCCCAGCAGCAGTGATGTTTGCATTACTGTCAGAGCCAGCAGCAGCAGGAGCTGATTTCCCCTGCTGTGAGTGGCCAAGCTTCCTCCGGAGAGGAGGATGAGCTGTGCAGACTGACAACATGAATGGGAGCCCAGATGTGCTTCCAAGAACGAGCCTTGTCCGGTGACCCCTTGGATGAGGCCTGGGTCTGTAGGCAGGATGTTCTGTGGACTGCTCACTGGTTGATCTGGATCAGTGCTGCTCCGTGGGCTTCGGACGCTGCCTGGAGTCCCTGGTGGCTGCAGAGATGAGAGAAACATTTGAACAAAGGAGTTTGGGGTTCAGAGGGCACCAGCCTCTGAGTCACTGCAATCCTCAGCCCCGCAAAGTGTTTCTGTTGGAGGTCATGGTGGGCGCTCTGAAGCTGGCCACAATTTCTATGGAATCCTGGACCCTAACTGAAAACTTCCTCATCTACTGGCCTCACCTCAGACATGACAAGATTTAAGGGTGTTGAGTGCCCAGCACCAAGGATCTCATTTTCAACTCCTTCCTCTCCCAAGCCCTGTCAAGTGTTTGCCCGTTCATAAAATCATTATTAGAATCATTATGGTTGGAAAAGACCTTTGAGATCACTAAGTCCAACTGTAAGATCCTCAAGTCCAACCATACCATTCCCAGTACAGTGTGTCTCTGCCCCACTATCAGCTCTTGCTGGTGGCCTCGTTTGAGATCCACCTGTCACATGCATGTGGCATGAGGTGACAGAAACCAAGGCATGCAAACCAGAAGGGCCCAGTAGCTGCAGCCCTGGTCCCATGTGGACCTTGCTCATCTGTTGCTCTCACAGATCCACCTGTCATCACCCCTGTTGTCAGAGCAGGTCCAAGGGAGAGGCATTGAGGAGCTCCCAAAGGGTGCTGTGGGGGACCAGGGTGCAAAGACACTACAAACTACAGGCACCCCTTCAGTGAGCAATGGTCTCCCTTGGAGGAAGGGATGGAGGAATCCGCAGGAGGTTAGCGGATTGCCCAGGGAAGCTGCAAATGTTAAAAGCCATAAGAGGTGTGCAGCCCGTTCTGGAGAAGTCCCTTTGGGTAAATCAGCCCCAAGCACTCTTGCTTTCCTTGGCATGGTACCAGCATTTATTGCATTGCCCTCACCAGAAGTTCACAGTGAACAAGGACTTTCCTTGGGCCTCCTCATGACCCCTACTGCTTCCAAAGATGCTGGGAAATGGATGAGGGTTTTTTTTGCTTCCACTTCTTGTCTTCCTCGCCCAGTCCCACGTGTGTGATACCCCGCTGCCCCATGCAAGCCAAAGAATGCGTGTACTTCCATATGGAGAAATATGGAAAGGCTGAAGGAAGAGGAGGGTTGGGCTCTCTTACCTGCTGCCATTTTACACTGCTGCTCGCACTTCCATTTGGTTTCAAAACGGTTGCTGTTCCCTCGGCATCCCCCAAACACGAAGGGCCGGCAGGCATCTGCCTCCGGGTGGTAATACCAGAGCAGCATGTATCGCTGGCAGGAGCCCTCGTCCATCGGCTGCAGGCAGGAGGCTGCAAGGACACAGATGCACCCAACGCTTGCGCTGTCACCCTGGCTCTTTCCTGGTCCCCTGGTCAGGCCACTGGAGCTCCCAGCTATCCACATTAAGGCACTTGATGCAAGGAGACTCACATAGTGAAGGTGGAACCACCCAGCCCATAGGAGCCAAAGATGGGACAAGCACAAGGTTGCTTGTGGCTCCACCCCACCAAGTCCCCATGGGGTGCCCATCACTGTGGTCTCAGAGCCTTGGAGGGGCTGCTTAATCCTCTGGCTCCTGGAAGGTCTTTGCAGCATGCAGGAGTGTTGGCCATGGGAGACTCTTGCTACATATTTTGCCACTGACTGACATGGGATGAGACCATTCTCCACCAGATCAGTCCCAGATGAGTCCTTCCCAGAGAACAGCTACATTAAAGCTACGATAAAGAGCACAAAGCTGAGATTTAGACTCTATCGCCTGGCTCATGTAACTCTTTCACCACCACATCCCCTTGATCTCAATGCAAAAATGCCCTTCCTACCCAGGAATGACTTCCCTAAATGTCATTTAATTCAGCACATTTCACCTGGTAATTGACTGCGGGCTTTGTGGCGCTCGTGCTGAGAGGGATCCATTATCTTCTTATCACTGGAAGCTGCTGAGGAAGCAAATGAAAATCATGAGTAATGAGGGCACGCAAATAAATTAGCCGTCATTTAAATATTGATTGTTGGGGCCTTACATGGCTTTCCGCGGCCTAACAAGTTCTTAATAAATGTCACAGAACAATTGGTATGGGGGGGAAATCAGCAGCAATAAAAGTCTTAATGGTGTTAAACAACTCAGCCCAAGAAGGTTGGGTGTTAGTCAGAGAAAAGGGAAGTATCTGTGGCTGTTTGCTGGAGATAAATGTCAGACTGGAGTTCTGCAAATTTGCGAGGTTTGAAAAGCCAGAAGCGATTGTAATCTGGTAGTAATAACTCTCCGATTGCAGAATCCTGTTAACATTTAGAGCGTCTATCCACACTCATCACTTAGCGGGGCGATTTATGAGTCCTCCTGCCTCCGACCCAACTTTAATGGGCTTGTCGGCTGGCGACGTCTGCCGCTGTGATTCAATAACATATGGTACACTCCATCGATCTGAAATCACCCATATCCCCAACGTCGCCTTAATATAAAGTGAATTGAAACCCAGACGGATGATGTTTTCTTCGAAGTACAGCAAAGACATTAGGTGAGAGCAGGCGGCTCCTTGGCGGGAGGTGATAATGTTCGGAGTCAGATTCCCTGCTCAACTGTATTTGGGGGTTGGATTTGGCCTTTAGAAGTTGATAGAAGAAAAAGATGGGGTGGGATTTAAGTCAATGGGTTTGTCTTAAAGCTCTTCCCTAAGCTCAGGGAAAAGGCCAACATAGATAATAAAGATCAACATATATAAACTGTAGGTCAACAGCTTGTGTAAGTTTTGGGGTATAGAAGTACACAAAACTGCAGCTTATCAGGTGGCAAGAATGTGCCAGGTACTTTCCTTCTAAAGTAGCTTCTAAAGTTGCAAAACTGATTAGCCAGCCTGCATGCTGATTGGCTGACAAGTGTGTTCATTGGCTGTCCTGGGTCCTGATTGGCCAACACATGTCCTCATTGGCCAACCAGAGGGCTGACTGATGATGATTGGTGGGGTTTTGGTGCTGACTGGCCTGTTGGCCACTGCCCCTTGCCTGCATGGCCTTCACAGAGGCCTGCAGGACTGCTGAAGGACCAGAGCCCACTGTGTGATGGTCTGAGATAGCTCTCAACCTAAGAATATCTATTTCTCTGAGCTGAAGCTCCAACACCATCCTCCAACCCATGCCAAAGGCAGGCCCATTCATTCTACCCTACTCTTTTTGTCTTGGTGATGAACTTGGAGTGTAAACATCTTGACTGCTGTATCAGAGTAGATGGAAGGGATTGTAGACACTGCAGAAGTCCCAAGGTAATCTTTATTTTGTCACAGCTGTAGCCTGCTGAATAACAAGAAATCAGTCTGAACTCCTCTCTTTTTGAATCCTGTCCTTTCTAGAAGTTTGAATAGGGAGTGTAGAAGGCCCTCCAAACCCATAGTTTCTTAGGCCTCCCTGTAACCCTTTTGCACCACAATTTCACTACTGCCCTTAAGTAGATTCAAGCCCTGAGGAGGAGTTCTGTGGGTCCTGCTTCAGAGAGAAGCAGTAGACTGTGGGTGGCTGTGATCTGGCCTAGAAGATGTGACGAAGCTGGAAGAGGGCAGCTTATATGGGTCCAGATGAGCGCAAATAGTGTCCAGGGAGTGGCTAAAATTGAGAGCTGAGCTACCCAGAACAGTCTTGAGCCAGCAATGTCAAGGGCTGCTGGAAATAGCAGGCTGGTCATGGAGCCTCCTCCACAAAATTTTACTGGGAAATTTGATAATAGTTAAGTATGTGGCTGATCATGGGCAGTTGACTTGTGTAGGTGTAGCTACTGTGTGAAGATATTCCACAAGCCCACGGATGTTCCTGCACAAATTGGCCTGTATATATACATCTGCAGCGTAGGACCTTGGCCTTGCTCTCTAGTTCTCTCTCCTCCCTTCTCTCTCAGGCAACAGAAAGGAAGAGAAATAGAGTTAGTTGTTTTCCTATTAGCTATAATCATGAGCTTTGGCCATTAAAGGGTTCATGAGGCCCTGGATAGAAATAGTCTGTAATAGCTCAAGAGTTTGGTCTCAGAGATGTAATTTCTAGCTGGTAGGAAGCCTTACTAGAAGTTACTGTGGAAGCAAAGGGCATGCTGCACAGAGGAGGACAAAACAACTTAAAGCCAGCTGGCTCCTTCCAACCTTTGAGTATGTGTTCGTTCCCAGATGCTGAGCATTGACCTCGCATAACTGGTGCTTGCCTCATGCACATCCTTCCCCAGCCTGAGGCCACACAAGCTCTTCTTCATCCATTGCCCCTTCTAGGGCCATCAGCTCACCTCATCTCTGATCTGCTGACCAGCTCTTTCTAGCATGGAGGATGGCTGTGCAGGATTCCTCCTCTGAAATCCCATTGCTTCTAGGTTTCTACTTAGTCCCAGGGTAAAGGACTTAACATGAGGTTCATGGCAGGCTCTGGGAGAGGGGACACCAGCTGCCACAGAAATAAAGGCAGAAAACATTTACCTGTAATAAATGAAGTTGGTTCCTTGAAGGACTCCCCCCAAACTGTTGAGGTTGTCATGTTCTGAGCTCTTTTAAGTAGTTCTTTCCAGCTTTCACCATCCTTTTTTGTGCGTTGCTGAGACTGAAAATACCCTTGGCGTTTCCTGTTGATTTTAGCAGCTCCTAAGCCTGTGGATTTATTCATTGGATTAGTGGTGATGAAGACTGGCATCAGAACAAAGTTTGATGGAGAGGATGCTGTGCTTTGAAAAATAATTGTGGCTAAAACAAACTCTTGTGGGTGGTGGCCAGGGACAGGACAAGGGCTCATGGGTGCAAGTTGAAGCCCAGGCAGCTCCATGTCCATGTGAGGAAGAACTTCCTTGGTGTGAGGGTGCCAGAGCCCTGGCACAGGCTGCCCAGAGAGGCTGTGGAGGCTCCTTCTCTGGAGATGTCCAACCCGCCTGGATGCCACCCTGTGCCCCGTGCTCTGGGTGTCCCTGCTGGAGCAGGGGCTGCACTGGGTGATCCCTAGAGGTCCCTTCGAACCCAACCATTCTGGGATTCTGGGATTCTGTAAACAAAATCAGTATCAGTGCACACAGTATGGGAGGAAAGTTACAAGATGACATTTTGTTGGCCAAAACCTATAGTCCAGTGGGATAGGTGACCAAAGCAGAAAAGCTGTTTCAAAAGCATATGTATATATACACACAGAATATAAGGTCTCTGTGCAGCATGAGTCTAAAGGTATTTCACTGGCAGTGCTGGATGCAGGATCTTATAGGTGCCTGTGGATTGGACTGATGGAACAACAGGATCCATTCCATGGGCAGGGAATGATTTTACTGTGGCTGCAGTTTTTAATGGGCAGCTATCAAAAATCCTTGTGAGATATAGTGTTGATCCTGTTTTTCAGTACAGTGTGAAAATAGGATGCTTCTTGGCCTTCCTCTCAAGTCAATTTTCTCAGATTCCCCTTAAGAAATAGCCTCCCTAGAGCCTGAGTCCAAAAGCAGTTGGGAATCCAGTGTGACAGCCCATGCTGAATCAGGGAAAAAAACACTTATTCTCAACAGCACCTTCTCATTCAGAATTTCAGACTGTTTGGGTTAACTAGAACATCCTTTACTCGGCCACACAAATTTGCACGCATTTCTGAGGCTTCCTAGAAATTAGCAGCCTTTCCATGAGCATCCTGCACCCATGCAATCTGCAAGCATAAGACAGGTCATCAGGACAGCAAATTTGTGGGGAGGCAATGGATACAGCTGAGGCCAAAGTTTGTTTGCTATTTCTTTCTTTTTTCCCTGTGAAAGCTGGATTTTCAGTCAAGTCATTATTTTCACAGGCGTTTTCCATTTTTCCCTTGACAATATTCAGATGTCTCCCCAGACATCAGGGTGTAGGGCAGGAGTGGGGCAGCTCTCTGTCTGCCCTCAGCAAGCTGGACCACCACAGGGGAAGGAAAACAAGGCCAAAAACCTAAAAACTCTTGTGATGTTGGGACTCTGGAGTAAACCCATCCCTATATGTATCTTCCCCTTCATTTTTTTTTTATTGCTGTTATAGCCCTGATCAGAAATTATTCAGTGTCAGAGGAGAGAGATCTTTGGGTCAAGAAGTGCCAGAAAGATGTCAGGAATTAAAAGGTTGCTTGGAGTCTTCATTAGGAAAAAAACATAGCTCCAAACTTTCCCTTCTGGCCCAAAGCCAATTGACAACCCCAGAGAAACTGAGATGGCCGGAGAGGAAAACTTTGCTGACAAAACCAGCACAGAAGTGGGAAGACAGAGGGATTAAAGCTGGAGTATGAGGTCAGGACTACAACAGAGACCTCGCAACCCAGAAGCCTGAACTCATCTCGGCGCATGGAGAGGCAACGTGTCTCCATTTGCTGCTAATGGGGTGATATTTGCTCTGGCAAGCGAGCTTGTGCTGGCACTCAAATTGCTCCAATTTAGTCTCTGGCAGGTGTCAGAGCGGTGCCCCGTGCAGCAGCCAGGGAGCTCACCAGCCGACTTACCGCATCTGCCGCTCATCTCACTTCTGACCATCTCCTTCACTTCTTCCTCCTGGGCCGCAGCAGGGGAAATTGCAGCAGGTTAGCAGTAATTTTCTACCCAAGCACCCCCATCTCCCTCCAGTCTGGGCCCCTTCCAGCCCTGTTTACTCCATTTGAGATGTATCAGAAAGTGAAAAGAGCTCAGCTTTGACTTGGCTGAGAGCAGAGACACACAGCTGGTGTAACAGGTTCAAGACTTGAGGCTCATGAGTGATTTGCAAATCTCTTTGCAAGGCTGTCCTCCAACACCTATGTCCTAGTGACTGTTTTCTTCTTGCTCCGAGGAGCCAGGATCTTCAGTAGTGGCTCTCCTATGAGTGTCCCATGCTCTTGGCACTGTTCCTTGAGTCATGCTCTCTCAAGTAGCTGTCACCTCTGAGAATCTTCACCAACTCATCTGCATCTGTGCAAAGAGTCTGCTCAGATCATATGGCATGGAGATGGGCTGTTGCACTAGATGCTAGTTGCAGCTCATGTGCTTCCTCTCCTCTGTCTCTTTACCAGCTAACATTAAGACATCTATCCCTTCACTCTTGTGCCAACCAAGGGTCAGCTGAGCTTCTTTCATATGCAGTGACTGACATCTTACTGCATTTCACGTAGTCGTACCCCTTGCAGGGAGGAAAAAATCTGCATGGGGAGAGCTATTCTAGAGTGACAGATAATGATCTCCTTGTTATTTGGGGTTGCATTCATCTGCCTCGATGAGTGTGTCTACATACCTTGAGTTCCCCTTGCAATCAGTGTTGTTTAGGGAGCAATTCACTTCATCTTAATGGAGATACCAACCAGTTTAGACTAAAGTTCTGTTTGTAAAGGGAGTCAAAACAACTTGCCCAGCTGTTGACACTTACTAGCTGGTAGTTGGGCTCACTTAAGTTGCCTACACGTAGGGGTAGCTGCAGGTAAGTTGCCCAACATTGCTTGCAATGCCCATGCTCATCCTGTCTGGCCTCCAGGTGTTGCTTCCTGTCAATCCAAGGGCACTAAACACATCTGCTCAGGCAACAGGAGACATACCCTAACATTACGGGAGCTGCATCCAGGTCTTTGTCTTGACCAATGTGGCTCTACCACTGCTGCAGGCAAGGCAGAACCTTTTTCAGTAATGCCAGGTCTCTAATCACTCTTGTTGACTTGGTGAGGCAGATTTCTGTCCACTGCTCTTTCTCCATCATTGCTTAATCCTTCGGCATTGGCACTGATCTTAGAAGACTGATGGAGAGGATGGGAGAGGAGAAATGCGCCCCAAAGTTTGGGTCTTTGGATTTGGCCTCTTACTTCTTTGTACTGCTCTCTCTCCAGCTTGTGTGTGTCTGATGTCCCTCAGTAATGAACAACACTCTCATTTCCCGGATATCAGCCACATTAATTTGTTTCTCAGCATTTCCATCTTCCCCTCTAAGTCTTAGGGGCAGTTTGTCCTATTTTCTCTATTCAAGTCTGTGTAATAGGATGTGATCTTGGGCTGAAGTACTTACAGAAAGACCAGGATCTCCCTTTTCTCCCTTCTGGCCAGTTGGGCCATTTTCACCCTGTTAAAAACACTTAAGTCATTACAAAAGTTCAGCACATTGACCATTAAACGCTTCAAGAGTAAGTGCACCTTAGGGAGAAAAAGATGCTCTAGAAAGTGAGATGGGGAAAATGCTTATATGTTTTCTCATAAATTTAAGGCATATCTGTAAATAGCTCTCTGAGCAGGAAGGAATGGACTTATTGAAACTCGGGGAGATAAGAACAAAAGTGTGTGACCAACTGCTGGGTTCAGATGCTCAGATTTTGTGGGCTAGTTTATGCTTTGCTGCTGAGTTTCAAGAGCTGTGTGACTGTTCTAAATTAGATATTCAGAAAGCAGCAAGGCTCTTCCCTACCCAAACTATCAGCATGTTACCAGCTACCAGTTAAGTCAGGTTTCTTTGGAATTTGTAGGTGACCTCAAAGAACTGGGCAGAGGAGGGGAGGAAAGGTTCTGGCCTGCAGGGGGAAGCTCTGGAAACTCCAATCACTAAAAATTCTCACCCCAGCTGGGTGGAAACAGAATGTTTGTCGAATAAGAATACTTTAAAAAATAAAAGGAAAAGGAGCACAGGAAGAACAATCTAAATTGAAGCTGTGATGACCATTTTTCTCAATCTGTGCTCAGTTACTGGGGCGAGAGTGCCAGGAGAAATCATATTACCCTCTGCTGACACAAGGAGCTAATGCAATGCCACCACCTGATGCGAAAAGTGCATGAGTCAGTGTTGGTGAGACGTGCTGCATGCAGAGATTTATCCAGAACATGAGTTATTCTGGCTGCGGGGGAACCATTGAAACCCAGTTTGTTGCAAGCTTCAATGTCAAGATTCAGCTCTTGTATTCCACCGTGTGCATTAAAGGGTTGGGCATCCCCTCTTTGTACTGAATCCCAGATTACTGTTTGACTCCCAATTTCATGGCGAGCACAACCGGTGAGGACTCGCAGTCTCTGATCAGAGAGCCGTCCACCAGCTGTCCCAAGGCAGCAGACAGAGAAGATGTGACATGAACCTGGATGAACCTGTGAGGTCCAGGCCTCTCTGCAGGGAGGTGTGTGAGTTTTACATTCAATACATGAGGCCAAAAGGAGTTTTGTCTTCCCGTCTAACTTCTAAAACGAGCCAATCTCCACACTGACCTTTTCTCCCTTTTGCCCCTCCGTGCCTGCGGGGCCCTTGAGGCAGAGCTGGGGTCTCCCTCTTCTACCTCGCGGACCCTGGAGAGGTGAAGCAGAGCTCAGTTAGCAGTGGGCAGGCACCTCCAGAGATGTCTTATACCACAAGCTGGCATTTTCTCCCCAAATTCCAGCCTGGGCATGAGCAGAAGATACTTAGAGCTCTTCAGACCTCAGACGCTAGCCCAGATGCTACAGATCAGAGGTGCTACCTTTGCAGCCTCTCCAATGGGCAACCCAGAGGAGTTTCCTACTGCCCAGCCTGTGGAAAGGATCGAGGTTGTGTGGGCAGAAGTCTTTTTTCTCTCTCTAGCTCTCCCTCTGTTCTGGCACTAAATAAAGAAATTGAGTCTCAGCAGGAGGAGAAAGGCTTGCAAACCGGGATA